AGAAATGTTCACCTACCTGAAGGAAGTGGTCACGGAAATTCCTATGGAGACGATAGGGAAAGTGACATAGTGGATTGGGTAGGGGTCCTACCCAATGGGACGACAGGTGACGCTTCAGGGGCAGTGGCGCCTTATCAACGGCGTGATAAGGCGCCGAAACCCACTTCCGGTTCGGCGTTGCACCTCCTCATCAGACGTGGAAGGGATGCAACAGCAGCGTGCTAGATATATGGTTATCGTTATCGTTCGATTTTCATGCTGGAGTGCACCTTTTCTAAGCAGCTCTTATCTCATCGTATCTTATATACCATAGGGTTATGCTCGTCCAACCACTATCTATCTCCGACCTTATCGGTTGATAACGCGGAGTTCGGCGATCCACGTGGAAGCCAGCGTGATCGCTTCCTTTAAAGGATGGTGAGGAGTATCTTTCGGTAAGAAGTCGTAGGAGTGCGTTCTGAATACAGTGAGAAGTAACCTCAATTCTCCTCTCAAACCATCCTTTCTCTCAACTTTGGCTCGCGAACGGCGTGATGGGCTTCGACCCAACCTTTAACGTTTTCTTACAGAGATACGAGTAATGAATAGAACGCACTATCCCGGCCAAGGCACATAGTTTACCTGTAAAAGGGGTCCGCTTCGAAGGTTCTCATTCGTTTTTCTCTATTTCCTCTTCCTCTTTTCTTTTCAATTTAGATGATCTTCATCATTTGTTAATTTGGTTGCGTGACCATGAGAAATTACTCGAGTTCTCCCTTTGCTCAAAATGTCCACGGGCACTTGAGAAACGCTTTTTATTGATTTGCTTAGTTTCATTGTTACAGGCTCGAGACGACTACTTACATTGCATCGATAGAGAACTAGACGCGGGAAAGTCCGAGGAGCAGGTATGCTTATTTTGACTTTTACATTTATCCTACGTGGACAGGGATGTGACAGATTCTAAGAAAAGAAAAGTACGTTGTTTTATGCAGAGATCAGAATCGTGCGAGTATCGTAGAGGATTCACCAATTTCCTGGTTTCCATAAAATAAGTTTTTAAGAATTGGTGAGCAAGTTTACCAGAATAAAAAAGTTACTTTCTTCGAATCAAAATTGTTTCTCTTTCGAGAGTTAGAAGGTTCTCTTCAGAAGAGATCCTTTGCCCTCTTACAATATTTTCACAAAAGATGAAAATATAATGACAATATCTTCTGTGTACAGGGTTCCAGAGTGCTACTGAGGAATTTTTATGAGTTTTCAGGCATCACGATCATGTCGAGCCGAATTGAAGTCATTTCTGAACGTGCCGTCAGCCTCGTGGGTGACACACTTCATTAGGAAAACACAGCTTTCAACGCTATAAGCAAACGCTGGCCGAACAAGGAGTTAACATAGCCGACAAAAATGCTCTCGGTGACGACAAGAATTAGTGCTAGGGTATGGAATAATGATATTTCCGAAACCATTGGAATCCATTTCAGTGAAACACTTTATTTTAGTGCTATGGACAAAGCTGTTGTTTGCCAGAGGACTTTGTAGTGCACCGAGCAAACCCCGCAGACGCAAAAATGGTGCTCAAGCTCGGACCGCGTCCGAGACCGTTTCTCAGATATTGATCCATTGTCCCTCGAAGGACAAGTCAATAGCCATGAATAAAAAGTTGCTCAAAGCATCTACCACGGCTGCCATCAACAAGGCATCCACCTCTAATCCGCTTAAGGACCATGTTGCGCCTGTGAAGGAAGTGAAGAAATCTGAGGTAGCGCCACAGATGAGCGTCACAGAACTTTCTTCACTTCTGTCCTTGGATGAAGTAAGTTATAGACCGCTCATTTTCTATTTCAAAGTCCCTTCTGTTTTTTTTTCGTGCTACATCAATGAATATTTCAGGCGGAGGAAGTCTCTTCACATCCGATTTTGAAATTTGTCGACTTTTCCGTACCTCTAGAGAAGCTGATTTTCATCTGTTACACATCCAAGTCGTTTCATCTCCGCGCTTCGCCTCTGTCACAAGTTTTCCCATGGATGTGCCTTTCATTCGTGCTAATCTTGCAACGTTGACTGGACCGGCAGTGCTTGAAGCGGCACGTCTTCTCGCAGACAGCGAACTTGCGTCATCGATGTGCGTTACGCCTGAGTCGGAACGTGAAAACCTGCAAAGGACATCGTCGCTCTTTGTCGGGATCTACCGCGAAAGATTTAAATCCACTCGACTGCCTCCATCGATGGCCGTTGCAATCAGTAAGTCTTCGTATCAGTTTCTTTTGAGGTTGACTTTCATGCAGTCGGCGGCTCAAAATATCCAAAAGCGTTCAGGCCTTGGTCTGAGGCCGTTTTGAAGGGTTCAAATTGCTCAGGAGTAACATTTTGTGAAAACTCGCTCTTACAAGATGTAGTGCGGCTGGATCAGAACATCCACTAGATTGAAAACCTGACTTTCTGTTCATTTGGTGTGCGCGCCTATGTCAAATAGAATTGGGCTACGATTCTGGCGAATCTTTAGGAGAGCGATGTGTTCCACACGACGTTGGAGCATTTTTGATAATTGTATGAGGGTTGTCTAAGGTGGACCGGGAATAGGTCACATTCTTCGTTTTGAAGCGAACAAAGTTTTCGGTCAGATTCTTTGATGTTATCGAAAACAAACCGCGATTTAATGTACACTATCTACATCTACCAGTCGGCTCCAACATCCACGTAGGTTTTGGTTTCCTCATCTACGAAGCAGGGGAGCTGAGGCTTGAGGTATTCGTTTATTCCTCACCCTACAACCATGATTTCGCCCTTGTACGGCTGCTATTTCTTTGTCCACTCCCGACGCTCCTTCCACATCGAAAAGTTCGACACGCATTTTATGTTAAGGGAGGCACTCAGCAAGTGCTCCAGTTCCCGCTCCCGTCATTCTCGAATGAAGGAATGTTGCAAACGTGGTCGAAGAGTGACAGTTTTGAGTCCCAGACAGAGATGATATACACACAGTCGATATCCGAGAGTTGGGCGCAGCCGCACTTGATAGATGTCGCGTGGATAAGCTGCTTCCAACATACATCGCTGGATATCAGCAAAGCATGCTGGCAACAGCTTATCCACGCAACTTCTATCAAGTGCACGTCACTTCCGGTGACACGCCTACCCCAACTTTCGGATATCGACTGTATATGATTTTAAAGCCAACTAGTTAATAAAATATTAACCAAAACAATTGTAGCGAGACCCTTTGCCAATCAATCAACTCACTTTTTTTATGGAAGGGTTACCGAGATCGCCAAGAAATGAGCAAGGACAGTGATGTGGGATAGTTTGGATTTCACTCTAGCAAGGCGAGACTGTAATCCCTTTGAAGTCATTCAATTGTTAAAAGCTTGTCTGAAAAAACAAAAATGCAGGTTTTTACATCCCATGGCCCGTGGCAGCTATGCGCTGTACGCTTAGTATGCGTGATTGCTACAAGTCTGGATGGGGACTAATGCGTGGCGCATCCGATAATAGTTCATCACTGCTGAAAACCTTATCCTCTTATGGTTCCTTTTTGCCTTTCTCCTTGTAGTTCGTGTAATTGTGATTTGCAGATATACTTCTTGGATGCGTCATTGATCCAACTCGAACGGTAGCTGAGATCTCTGTCAATGATATGAAGCAAATGATATTCCGAGCGGAAGTCCATCATAACGTGGCGTGCACTGCCCTTGACATTGATCAGTGGGATAAGTTCAAGTAAGCTGCCGGCATCGAGCTTCACGATATAGTGTCGATTATGATGGAATACGATCACACTTTTTAGGTCTATTATGAATTCATGTCCACTATCACCTCACTACTCGCCTATACTTGTATTTCACATAACAAGCTTTATTCTAAGGAATCCGGTGCGTCATTTCACGCTGTTGCCATTTCAGTATTGCGTTTTGTCAACATGAAGGTTCAGGAACGGCAGAAGGAAGTGATGGAATGGTACCTGGGCGCCTTGTCATTTGAGCGCAAACCTTTGACTCAACTTCAATGGTCCAGTTATGCGGCAAATATAATCAGGTGGGG